TCAACAATATCAACAATCCCCATGGGCACAACAACAACAACAACAACGACCATATCAACAATCCAACTCTCAGTATCAGCAACGACAACAACAACGGCCGTATCAACAATCCAATTCTCAGTATCAGCAACAACAACCATGGTCACAGCAACAACAACAACAGCGACCATATCAACAAGCCAGTTCTCAATACCAGCAACAACAACCATCGGCACAGCAGCAACAACAACAACGACCATATCGACAATCCAATTCTCAATATCAGCAACAACAACAACGCCCATACCAACAATCCAATTCTCAGTATCAGCAACAACCACCGTGGGCACAACAACAACAACAACAACAACGACCATATCAACAATCCAATTCTCAGTATCAGCAGCAACAACCATGGGCACAACAACAACAACGACCATATCAACAATCTAATTCTCAGTATCAGCAACGACAACCATGGACACAACAGCAACAACCACAACAATCTAACTCTCAGTCTCAACAACGACGACCATGGGCACAACAACAGCAACAACAACAACAACAATCATTTCCTCAATATCAACAACCATTTCAACAAATGCAGAGACCGCCAAAACCATCTCGTCAGCCAATGCAGTATCAATCGCCACAGCAATCAATTGTGAGTGTCACGTATTACATTAACAGTAAACATAGAAAAAAATCTTCTAAACAAGAGATAAATTTGTTGTTCAAACTTTCAACTATTCTTGAATATTGATCCATACTAGCAGATGAAACCTTGATCCGAAATATTAGAATAGTGATATTTCGTCGCGTAAAGAAAAAATAGAACGCCAAATCTATATACATCTGTAGTTTTATAAATCGTGAAGGTTCTATGGATACAGATTAGGTATCATTTATTTTCTAGATGCCATTGAGTCAACCAGAATCTATACCCTCATTTTTAAGGAAACAAATCTAGTTTATTTTAGTTAATATCAAATATTAAACGTTTTACAGTAGAAATTAGATGAGTCATACGGTTATAATCTGTTCGACAACAAAATTAATAGAATATACTTTTGATAGATCTACTAGTTAATTTAAAATTTAGAATTTTTATTAATATATATATGTATATATAAAACTAGTCACGTGCACCTCAGCTTCAAGGTCAACAATATCGACCACCAATTACTACCCCGATGACTCCAACTACAAATAATGTTAATACGACTACTAACAACGCTTCAATAACTCCAACTACATCAGGCTATTGTAATTGCAATTGTCAATGCCCTTATGGTGCTGCTAACCCTAATATTCAAGGTGCCAATGTAGTCTATGAATATTCGCCACCACCACCATCATCACAACAACAACAAACAGCTCAACGCCGACGACGACAATCTGATATTGATTCTCATTCTATTCTATTTGGAAAATAAACGATAATAATTATAAATGAAAGTTGAAATCAGTTCGATATGTTGAAATTTAATTTTTTTTCCTTTCTATATGCGTACCTTTTTTTGCATTTTCATCAGCAAAACTCTTACTATTTTTAAAACATTCACCTCAAATGATTTGATTCTTGAGAGTGTTGGTGTTAGAATCCTATTTTATTTTTTTATCCTTTCATAGCTGCTTAGACTTGATGACATAGTACTTGATATGATCCCAAGGGAAATGTGTAAAGACAAAGTAGATGTCGTGCTCTACACAGTATCGACAAAAATTGCTTATTACAACTTACCAAGAGGTAAAAGATCTCCCTCGATCAATTTCATGTTGCGATGACGAAATTGAGCGGACTAGTGGTAACACTGATCTGCCAGAGCAACACTATTTAATAAAAGTATTACGAAAAATCAATTTTTTACTGTTTAACATTCATGAGATATTTGAAGTCAATTTAGTTTTGATTGAAAGTTTTATAGTAGAAAGTAAACTTGAAGAAGATTGAAATAATACAATAGAAATTGAAAATTCATTGTTGTGTGATTTCAAATCATTTTTTTATAGTTAGATATAGACTAACTCAGATACGTATCTATGTATAATCATACTAATATTATAACTCATTATTATAGGATGATACAGGATAAATAAAAGAGAACGTGAATTGATTTATGAATTCAAAAATATGAAGTAATAATTCAATATTCATTACAACATGAAACACTCCAATAAGTTCAGTTGAGAAAATCGTTGTTTATTATTATATATTTGGATTATAAAAAGTAAACCAGATGGCGATGAGTATAAGCGTTGTATAACATATATATAACTATAATAAATCTAAATCATTGAACAGTTATATAACTTCCTACAGTTCTTAATTCTAGTAATAAAGATCTTGGATAAGATAAAACAATGAACTAGCAAATATCAACACTAACCTACAACATGTGTAGGTTAATCAATTTCATCAAATTCTGTCAATGATTTTTCTCATTAGAATTCAACTAGTATAAATAAAATATTGATTTTAACTATTTATATATGATTATGATATTTTATTTTACTTCACTTATATAAAATAACTTCGACAAAATAATGTCACTAATTCACATGATATGCATATGGATGAAAGACATTCATTTTTGACAATAACTTTACATTGTTGTTTCTTACTGATTTATAAACTAATATTTAAATTATTCTTTGACTACTGATTCGATTGTTGAATATATATCCATGTGAATAGTTTTTATAGTATTAATCGAGAAAAATTTTGATCATGTATGTATTTTTGAATGACAAAAGATAGGTACTATATGTGTAAAGCGAAAGAAAATGTTACGACGACGAAATTAAGCGAGTTGATAACAACACTAGCCTACGAGAGAAATACTTGAAAAAAAGTAATGAGAATCGAACAGAGATGCTGACGGATAAATGACTTAGATACGATTTTTAATTTTAGCTATTCAATTTGAAAAGTATTAGATCATTTTTCGATCAATAAGTAGAATTCTAACATAAATACTTGATAATAATAAGAAACTTGCATAGATTGATCAATAGCATGAATAATGACTAATATATTTTAATTTTGAATTTCTTATGTGATTTCTGTGTCCCAAAGGAAACGGGAGTGGATCAAACTCAACGGCACTAAGAACCTGACCTCAGTGAGATCAGCACCGACTTAGAAACCGACGAGAACAGGTACTACACTTTGATCTTATCCGAAAGGCCGAGAAGCAATAACTAAATAGATAAATTCAAGATTCTTATTTTTCCTGTGTCCATACATATTGATGATCTTTAATGACTAAAATTTAGGTTACAGAAAGATTATATAAAACATGAATGTAGCCATTCATTTTTCCACAAATGAAAAAAGAATCTATTATATTGCAATATGTTGTTTTATTCATTGTCGTATTTATAAAAAAAAAAGTGTTGCACTGGCAAACTAATGTTACCATCAGTTCGCACAATTTCGTCATCGCAACATGAAATTGATCAGGGGATTTTTTTTTTTTTTTTAAGAATTTCATTCTTTTATTTTAAATAGAAATAAAAAATCTGTTTTCTTGCATAAAAAAATATTTTCATAATTAAATAGTATAAATCGTAATTTCAATATCATCTTCTTCGAATATATGTTGAATAAGTCTCGATACTTGATCCCAATTAAGTTTATCTAATCCACAACCAATACGAGGCATTGCTAAATGATAAATATTATTTTTAATACATAAATCTCTCATTGTACGTAAACTTGATTCTAATGTTTTCATTGTTGGTTTATAAAAATATTTTTCTTTTGTTACTAAATAAAATATATGTCGATCATTTGAAGTTATATATGCACAACCACCGACGGATACATTTTGGTTTTTAAGTTCATTGATTTGACCGAATTTATTACGAAATAATGTTGCTATACCTTTAGACATACTCATATCTTGTGAAACACAATGTGCAAGTGATACATTGGAAGCAACTGAAAATAGATCACCAGGAATTTCTTGAAAGACTAATGGCATAGTTTTGTTTTAATCTCTTGGTAAGTTGTAATAAGTAACTTTTCTCGATAGTATGAGAAACATCACATGTGTTTTGTCGTTGCATATATTATATGGAAAGAATGAAACGAAAAGCGAAACGTGTAAAGACAAAGTAGATGTCGTGCTCTACACATGATCGAGAAAAATTGCTTATTACAACTTACCAAGAGGTAAATGATCTCCCCTGATCTATTTCATGTTGCGATGACGAAATTGTGCGGACTAGTGGTAACACTGATCTGCCAGAGCAACTTTTCAAAAAAAAATAAATAAAAATTAAACATATTTTATTAACTGTATACTTCATTATTTGTTTTACTTAAAAGTTGCCGAGTTTGTACAACATAAACTAAAATAATAAAACATGTAAATGTACGATAATCATGGTAAGGTTTATAAATAATACAGATATTTAATTATTGTATGTTATCTTCACATCTGCTAAGAACATAAGTTACTGCAATTATGAACATCTTTTGTTGAAATATATATACAAAAAGTATCTTATCTAATGTTCTAAAAGATATTTAAACTGCGACTGGCACGGGAGATGATGTTTGTTTAAGTTATTCGAAAATAGAACATATTTGATAAACAAAAAGTATAATATCATATCACTGAACGCATAAGAAATTTCTAATATAACTATTTGCACCGAGAGAAAAATACTATTTTGTTAAAATAAAGATTTTCGATTTCAAAAAATAAAATTATATAAATGTTTCTAAGATAACTCATGACGGATCAACACCCACCACTTTTTTCAAGATATGTAAGATTCCAAATAAAGAATATGTATCATGTTGTTTTGGAAGTTGTCAACTATATTTCTATCAATTAGGAAATTATATACTACAAAACTAACCAATATTTGTTCTATGAAAATCTATACTAAGACACATGAAGACAAAAATATGATATTATTAAAAAAAAAAAATTATGATAGATAAAATGACAACATGATTAGAATTAGCAATAGATTAGAATAAATATTAGGATGGGTACGGGTGTGGGTACGAAATAGATAGGATACCCACACCCACATCCTCGAGAAAATTGAAGTGAACAATACTACGAGAAATTTTAATTTTTATACTTTCCACTTCATTTTATTAATTCATAAAAATGTTTATCTATTGACCATTTTATTAGTATACTCACCAGTCATAATTTTACTGACCATCCAGTTAATTTACTGATTTTCTATTTTTTCTATCCACTGACCGTTTCAGTTATTTTACTGACCTCTTAAATGATGGCCATTATAATCGAGAACACAATATTCATGTCTCTTATGTACTAGCTTATATCGATAAAACAGTCTTACCAAAAATATTGCTTACAGTTGTTATCTCGATTCTCTTTTTTTGTAGATAATGTCATTCTTTTTCGTTTTTTTTCTTCCAACAAGTAATTACAACATCATATGAAATGTATGAAACAAAACAAATATTCCCTCATCTAATGATGAGATAAAGAAAAATATATATAACCAACATATGAGGCTACACAACCAAGGGGGAAAATGCAAACTTTTGGACTTCAAGTGAATTTGAGCCACTTTATGCTACTTTGCACTACTTTAAGTTACTTTACGTTACTTTTAAAATACTTTATGCTACTTTAAAATTACTTTATGCTACTTTACGCTACTTTAGTCTACTTTATGCTACTTTTAAACTACTTTACGCTACTTTAGTCTACTTTAACGTACTTTATATCACTTTACACTGCTTCAACTTACTTTAACTACTTTAGCCTACTTTAAGCTACTTTGTAGGACTTCGAGCCAATTTGAACTACTTTAAGCAACTTCCACTTACTTCAAACCACTTCACAGTTTATTAATATAACTGCAGATATATATTCTAGATATCATGATCATAGATCGTTTTGTTTTTGCTGAATAATAATATGATATTAAAAATATCAACATATGCAAAAAGAAAAGCTACATAAATTATAGTATTACATAAGCACTTTAATGATTTATTTAAAAAAAGATAAAAGGTAACACCAGAGATGGCGCGACCGGCGGGAGGGGATGTCGGGGGTGTGATATCCCTCCAACTGTCGAAAATTTCTATTTTTAGTCAACAAAATCGGCAGATCTTCTTAGGTTTTTTACCAAAGATAATGCTACACCCCTCCCAAAAACTCAGAAAATTTCGCTACACCTCCTGCCCCCAAGAATTCAAAAAATTTCGTTGTACCCTCCCCTCAGTGTTGGCTGATTCGCGCCACCGCTGGGTAAAACATAAACAATCACACACGAATTAAAATGAGTTAAAACAGAAGAAGAAAATGTTAGATGTATTAAATCAATATTGAATAAACCGTTTAGACAGTTTGAGTAAATATATATTTGATGTATTAAGTAAAAATTCAAGAATGATTAATTACTCTTCCCAACACTCTGAAAAAAA